TATATATGTGTATATACACACACACATACATACACAGTATAGAGAGAGAGAGAGAGAGAGAGAGAGAGAAACAAATGAACTTATGGACATGAAAAAAAATTAAACGGTGTGACCTTTTCTCATACTTATAAACAGTAGCCTTATGTATTTAAAAGGTCACCCTCACACTACAATTCATCCACATATGCACTTAGCATCTGTTTGGTAGGACACAGATGGCACACTGGACAATCCAGCACTCAAATGGTTAATGAGCACATTCTAGATCAGGAATACAAAATTGTTTTCTAGTAACAAGTATCTGTACAAACTGAAGTGGCTGTTATGCAACAGTATTTTTTTGTGATGTATGTCGGTCTGGCTAGATCTAATTAAGCCAGCTTGGCTCATATATCTATTCCCTAAACAACAAATAGTTACTTGCACAGAATAAAAATAATTGCAGTGCGCAATCTGCTAATTGCAAAACCATGTGCTTTATATTGGATCAGCTTTCATTTTAGATTTAGTAATTCTTTTAACTGGAGTTCAAAATATAAGGCAGTACTTTTATCGCTTCATAAGTCATTGAAACTAATTTGAAATATGCAGTGTATAAATCTGGGGTGTTCACAATATGATACATAAGGCTTCTGTGGCCTGAAACACTCAGTAAGACTTCTCATTTAAAGAAGAATTGATGTTCGTTAATGCTTATAATATAATAGCTACAGTAAACAAGTATGGAAAAATCAGTTTAACATAAATAATCTTATTAGTGTAGATTAATGTATTAACCTCCCTGGCGGTATGATTATTCAGGATTTTAGCATCCCAAAGCGGTACATTGTTTTTCATGGAAATTTGTTGTTTTATATTGTAGGCCTGTAATTCTTAGTAAATCTTAGGAATAACTCACCTAAATCTGTCCAAACAAGAGTCCAGTAGACATCCAGTAGATAAAGTTTGAAACACAAAATTAAAAAATTATAATATAATAAATTATAAATAATTATAAGAAATTATAATAAAATAATTTAAAAAAATGGTCCAGTAAATGGGAATTCTGGGGGCG